GTTTGTTCCCAAGGGAAACAGAAATAATTGGAAGAACAGAACGAGTCCTTGGTTCACCCAAAGGTGTAGGGAGGCAAAAACTAGGTGTACTAGAGAATGGAAAAGGTACAGAAGACAGAGAACTCAGGAAAATAAAGAGATTAGCCGAAGAGCCAGAAACGAATATGCACAGATAAGAAGGGAGGCTCAGCGGCAATATGAAAATGACATAGCATCGAAAGTCAAGACTGACCCGAAGCTGTTGTACAGCCACATCAGGAGGAAAACAACAGTCAAGGACCAGGTAATCAGACTGAGGAAGGGTGATGGGGAATTCACAAGAAACGACCGGGAGGTATGTCAGGAGCTCAACACGAGATTTAAAGAAGTATTTACAGTGGAAACCAGTAGGACTCCAGGAAATCAGAACAGGGAGGTACACCAGCAAGTGCTGGATGAGGTACATATAACCAAGGAGGAGGTGAAGAAGCTGCTATGCGAACTTGACACCTCAAAGACGGTGGGACCAGACAACATCTCTCCGTGGGTCCTTAAAGAGGGAGCAGAGATACTGTGTGTACCATTAACAAAGATCTTCAACACATCATTTGAAACTGGGCAACTCCCCAAGGTATGAAAGATGGCAAATGTAGTCCCAATTTTTAAAAAGGGAGACAGACATGAGGCACTAAACTACAGACCTGTATCACTAACGTGTATAGTATGCAAGGTCATGGAGAAGATCATCAGGAGGAGAGTGGTGGAGCACCTGGAAAGAAACAAGTGTATAATTGACAACCAGCACGGTTTCAGGGAAGGAAAATCCTGTGTCACAAACCTACTAGAGTTTTATGACAAGGTGACAGAAGTAAGACAAGCGACAGAGGGGTGGATCGACTGCATTTTTTTGGACTGCAAGAAGGCCTTCGACACAGTTCCTCATAAGAGGTTACTGCAAAAGCTAGAGGATCAGGCACACATAACAGGAAAAGCACTGCAATGGATCAGAGAATACCTGACAGGGAGGCAACAACGAGTCATGGTACGTGACGAGGTGTCAGAGTGGGAGCCTGTCACAAGCGGGGTTCCACAGGGGTCAGTCCTAGGACCTGCGCTGTTCTTGGTGTATGTGAACGACTTAACGGAAGGGATAGACTCAGAAGTGTCCTTGTTTGCAGATGATGTGAAGTTAATGAGAAGAATCAAATTGCATGAGGATCAGGCAGGACTACAAAGAGACCTGGACAGGCTACAAGCCTGGTCCAGCAACTGGCTCCTTGAGTTTAACCCTGCCAAATGCAAAGTCATGAAGATTGGGGAAGGGCAAAGAAGACCGCAGACACAATATAGTTTAGATGGCCAAAGACTGCAAACCTCACTCAAGGAAAAAGAGCTGGGGGTGAGTATAACACCGAGCATATCTCCTGAGGCGCACATCAATTAGATAACTGCTGCAGCAATTGGAAGTTGAAGACTCAGATGAATCAAAGGGATATTAGGAAGTATTTCTTCAGTCATAGAGTAGTCAGGCCGTGGAACAGCCTAGAAAGTGACGTAGTGGAGGCGGGAACCATACATAGTTTTAAGGCGAGGTATGATAAAGCTCATGAGGCAGGGAGAGAGAGGACCTAGTAGCAATCAGCGAAGAGGCGGGGCCAGGAACTGTGACTCGACCCCTGCAACCACAAATAGGTGAGTACACACACATACATAGTTTTAAGAAGAGGTACGACAAAGCTCAGGAAGCAGAGAGTTAGAGGACCTAATAGCGATCAGTGAAGAGGCGGGGCTAGGAGTTATGACTCGACCCCTGCAACCACAACTAGATGAGTACACACACACACACACACACACACACTCACACTCCACTCTCCCACCCACCCACACTCACCCATCCATCCATCTATACCCATACCCCACCCACACACCCACTCCCCAACCCACTCGTACCCACATCCACCCACACCTACACCCACACCCCATAATACCCACCCACATCTCACCGCACCAACCCAGCCGCTTATCCACACCCCACCCCAACAATAAACCCAGAAATAACAGGGAAGACACCGCAATAGATCAAGTAATACTTAAAGGAAACAACGAACAATTGTCCTGAAAGAGGTATTGGAACAGATATTATTGACGAGTGGGGTTCCACTAGGTTCAATACTAGAACCGGTACTGTTTCATGTATACGTGGATGACATAACAGAAGGGATGGAGTCAATGGTATTCTTGCTCGTATATGATGTGAAGCTAATGAGAATACACATTCCACAGACTCAAAATATGAAATGGAAATTTCGCGTTGTAAATGATGATAATTTAGAAAGAAACGAAAACGACAGCCAGTGTTCATTTCCATTACAAGGCATATCTGTAAACGGTTTCAGCCACAATAGTGACTATATTTTTTAAATTACACAGATTCTTACTGAGAGAGATATAAACAGTAGATGCTTGCTCATGATGGACACTATGGGAGGAAATCCAGGAATGCTGTGGTGATTCCAGCTGTGTCGTGTTGAGTCCAGCTATGTTGTGGTGAGCCCAGCTGTGTCGTCTTGAGTCCAGCTATGTTGTGGTGAGCCCAGCTGTGTCGTGTTGAGTCCAGCTGTGTTGTGGTGAGTCCAGCTGTGTCGTGTTGAGTCCAGCTGTGTTGTGGTTGGTGCAGCTGTGTTGTGGTTGGTGCAGCTGTGTTGTGGTTGGTGCAGCTGTGTGTTGTAGCTTTATGGGTCCTGGTTCCATGGAGTCATCTTATATACCACAACATTTATCACTGTGTGAGCTTACAGCTGTGACAATGATCGGGACGCGATGTGTGGTTATGAAATTTACAAACATGAATATGAAAGGACTTTATATAAAGCGAATTTAAATCAAATTTAGCAAAATATCCATTACAGCTGACTTTAAAAAAAAATATCCGAGTAATGTTAATACGAAGTTATCTTGGGTTGTAATAAAGTTTCTTAATAACCATCTGCCAGACTCTTTAACAGAATGTTTTCTATAGTTGTTCAACTTTCTTCTGCCATTTACCTCTACTAGGCTTGATGTTACCAGCCATTTACCTCCACTAGGCTTGATGTTACCAGCCATTTATCTCTACTAGGCTTGATGTTACCAGCCATTTACCTCAACTAGGCTTGATGTCACCAGCCATTTATCTCTACTAGGCTTGATGTTACCAGCCATTTATCTCTACTAGGCTTGATGTTACCAGCCATTTACGTCTACTAGGCTTGATGTCACCAGCCATTTACGTCTACTAGGCTTGATGTTACCAGCCATTTACCTCTACTAGGCTTGATGTCACCAGCCATTTGCCTCTACTAGGCTTGATGTCACCAGCCATTTGCCTCTACTAGGCTTGATGTCACCCAGCCATTACGTCTACTAGGCTTGATGTTTACCACCATTTACCTCTACTAGGCTTGATGTCACCAGCCATTTGCCTCTACTAGGCTTGATGTCACCAGCCATTTGCCTCTACTAGGCTTGATGTCACCAGATATTTTCCTCTACTAGGCTTGATGTCACCAGCCATTTACCTCTACTAGGCTTGATGTCACCAGCCATTTGCCTCTACTAGGCTTGATGTCACCAGCCATTTGCCTCTACTAGGCTTGATGTCACCAGCCATTTGCCTCTACTAGGCTTGATGTCACCAGCCATTTACGTCTATTAGGCTTGATGTCACAAGCCATTTACCTCTACTAGGCTTGATGTCACCAGCCATTTACCTCTGCTAGGCTTAATGTCACCAGCCATTTACCTCTACTAGGCTTGATGTCACAAGCCATTTACCTCTACTAGGCTTGATGTCACCAGCCATTTACGTCTATTAGGCTTTGTCATCAGCCATTTACCTCTACTAGGCTTGATGTTACCAGCCATTTACCTCTACTGGGCTTGATGTCACCAGCCATTTACGTCTATTAGGCTTTATGTCATCAGCCATTTACCTCTACTAGGCTTGATGTCACCAGCCATTTACGTCTATTAGGCTTTATGTCACCAGCCATTTACCTCTACTAGGCTTGATGTCACCAGCCATTTGCCTTACTAGGCTTGATGTCACCAGCCATTTGCCTCTAACAGGCTTGATGTCACCAGCCACGTACTTCTACTAGGCTTAATGTCACCAGCCATTTACCTCTACTACGCTTGATGTCACCAGCCATTTACCTCTACTGGACTTGATGTCACCAGCCATTTGCCTCTACTAGGCTTGATGTCACCAGCCATTTGCCTCTACTAGGCTTGATGTCACCAGCCATTTGCCTCTACTAGGCTTGATATCACCAGCCATTTACTTCTGCTAGGCTTAATGTCATCAGCCATTTGCCTCTACTAGGCTTGATATCACCAGCCATTTACTTCTGCTAGGCTTAATGTCATCAGCCATTTGCCTCTACTAGGCTTGATATCACCAGCCATTTACTTCTACTGGACTTGATGTCACCAGCCATTTACCTCTACTAGGCTTGATGTCACCAGACATTTGCGTTACTAAGCTTGATGTCACCAGCCATTTGCCTCTACTAGGCTTGATGTCACCAGCCATTTGCCTCTACTAGGCTTGAGGTCACCAGCCATTTGCCTCTACTAGGCTTGATGTCACCAGCCATTTACTTCTACTAGGCTTAATGTCACCAGCTATTTACCTCTACTAGGCTTGATGTCACAAGCCATTTGCTTCTATTAGGCTTGATGTTACCAGCCATTTACCTCTACTAGGCTTTATGTCTCAGCCCTTTACCTCACTAGGGTTGATGTCACCAGCCATTTACCTCTACTGGCTTGATGTCACAAGCCATTTACCTCTACTGGACTTGATGTCCCCCAGCCATTTACGTTTACTAGGGGTTTATGTCACCAGAAAATTTGCCTGACTAGGCTTTGAGTCACCAGCCATTTACCTCTACAGGCTTGATATCACCAGCCATTTTCCTCTACTAGGCTTGATGTTACCAGCCATTTGCCTCTACTAGGCTTGATGTCACCACCTTTTGCCTCATGGGCTGATTACCAGCCATTTACCCTTAGCTTAAAGTCCCCAGCCTTTTTCTTCTCTAGGCTTACGTCACCCCCTTTGCCTCTCAGGTTGGTTACCCCTTTTGCCTTCTAGGCTTTGTGTCACCAACCATTTGCTTTACTAGGCTTGTGTCCCCAGCCATTTACCTACCAGGCTTGATGTCCCGCCATTACTTCGACTAGGCTTGATGACCAGCCATTTCCTTACTGGCTGATTCACAAGACATTTACCTCTATGGACTTGATGTAAACCAGCCATTTATCTCTGCTAGGCTTGATGTCATCAGACATTTGCCTCTACTGGCTTCATGTCCCCAGCCATTTGCCTCTACTAGGCTTGATATCCCCGGGCCTTTGCCTCTACTAGGCTTGATGTCACCAGCCATTTGCCTTACAGGCTTGATGTACCAGCCATTTACTTCGACTAGGTTTGATGTCACCAGCCATTTACCTTACAGGGTTGATGTCACCAGCCATTTACTTCGCTAGGCTTATGTCACCAGCATTTGCCTCTACTAGGCTTGATGTCACCAGCCATTTGATTCTACTAGGCTTGATGTCACCAGCCATTTACCTCTACTAGGCTTGATGTCACCAGCCATTTACTTCGACTAGGCTTGATGTCACCAGCCATTTGCCTCTACAAGACTTCATGTCACCAGCCATTTGCCTCTACTAGGGTTGATGTCACCAGCCATTTGCCTCTGCTAGGCTTGATGTCAAAGGCAATTTACCTCTACCAGGCTTAATGTCACCAGCCATTTACCTCTACTAGGCTTGATGTCACAAGCTATTTACTTCTATTAGGCTTGATGTTACCAGCCATTTACCTCTACTAGGCTTTATGTCTCCAGCCATTTACCTCGCTAGGCTTGATGTCACCAGCCATTTACCTCTACTAGGTTTGATGTCACCAGTCATTTACCTCTACCGGACTTGATGTCACCAGCCATTTACCTCTACTAGGCTTGATGTCACCAGACATTTGCCTCTACTAGGCTTGATGTCACCAGCAATTTGCCTGTACTAGCCTTGATGTCACCAGCCATTTGCCTCTACTAGGCTTGATGTCACCAGCCATTTACCTCTACTAGGCTTGATGTCACAAGCCATTTGCTTCTATTAGGCTTGATGTTACCAGCCATTTACCTCTACTAGGCTTTATGTCTCCAGCCATTTACCTCACTAGGCTTGATGTCACCAGCCATTTACCTCTACTATTCTTGATGTCACAAGCCATTTACCTCTACTGGACTTGATGTCACCAGCCATTTACGTTTACTAGGCTTTATGTCACCAGACATTTGCCTGTACTAGGCTTGATGTCACCAGCCATTTACCTCTATTAGGCTTGATATCACCAGCCATTTGCCTCTACTAGGCTTGATGTCACCGGCCATTTGCCTCTACTAGGTTGATGTCACCAGCCATTTGCCTCTACTAGGCTTGATGTCACCAGCCATTTACCTCTACTAGGCTTGATGTCACCAGCCATTTACTTCTGCTAGGCTTAATGTCACCAGCCATTTGCCTCTACTAGGCTTGATGTCACCAGCCATTTGCCTCTACTAGGCTTGATGTCACCAGCCATTTGCCTCTACTAGGCTTGATGTCACCAGCCAATTACCTCTACCAGGCTTGATGTCACCAGCCATTTACTTCGACTAGGCTTGATGTCACCAGCCATTTACTTCTGCTAGGCTTAGTGTCACCAGCCATTTGCCTCTACTAGGCTTGATGTCACCAGCCATTTGCCTCTACTAGGCTTGATGTCACCAGCCATTTACCTCTACTAGGCTTGATGTCACCAGCCATTTACTTCGACTAGGCTTGATGTCACCAGCCCTTTGCCTCTACTAGGTTTGATGTCACCAGCCATTTGCCTCTACTAGGCTTGATGTCACCAGCCATTTACCTCTACTAGGCTTGATGTCACCAGCATTGCCTCTACTAGGCTTAATTTCACCAGTCATTTACCTCTACTAGGCTTAATGTCACCAGCCATTTTCCTCTACTAGGCTTGATGTCACAAGTCATTTCTATTAGGTTTGATGTTACCAGCCATTTACCTCTACTAGGCTATATGTCTCTAGCCATTTACCTCACTAGGCTTGATGTCACCAGCCATTTACCTCTACTAGGCTTGATGTCACCAGCCATTTACCTCTACTGGACTTGATGTCAGCAGCCATTTTCCTCTACTAGGCTTGATGTCACCAGCCATTTGCCTTACTAGGCTTGATGTCAGCAGCCATTTGCCTCTACTAGGCTTGATGTCACCAGCCATTTGCCTCTACTACTCTTGATGTCACCAGCCATTTGCCTCTAGTAGGCTTGATGTCACCAGCCATTTACTTCTACTAGGCTTAATGTCACCAGCCATTTACCTCTACTAGGCTTGATGTCACAAGACATTTGCTTCTATTAGGCTTGATGTTACCAGCCATTTACCTCTACTAGGCTTTGTCTCCAGCCATTTACCTCAATAGGCTTGATGTCACCAGTCATTTACTTCTACTAGGCTTGATGCCACCAGCTATTTGCCTCTACTAGGCTTGATGTCACAAGCCATTTACCTCTACTAGACTTGATGTTACCAGCCATTTACCTCTACTAGGCTTAATGTCACCAGCCATTTACCTCTACTGTACTTGATGTCACCAGTCATTTACCTCTACTAGGCTTGATGTCACCAGCCATTTGCCT